GGATTAAAGCTGAGGAAACTCATTATCATGCGAACTGACACTGGCCTGCTTGGGAAATTTGGCTGTTTTCTCTCTAATCCTAATTTCTTGGAAGGTCAGGTAAACAGCTTTGTTTCAGTTTGAGTGATAGGGAACTTTAATGTGAGTGACTCTGTTTTGATTTTTAGCCTACTGCAGCTTAGTTCAAGACAATAGCTTCCAGTAATTTTTATTTAATAATTGCTGTGCCATTGTAGCAGACTCACATTATAGACATATTTATGGAAAATCTGTATTTTGTGGAGGGTGTGAACTGGAACTAGTATATCATATAGATATAAAAATGACTTTCCCCTGAGGGTAGAGTCATTGGAAGTGATAGATCTAAATCCTTTCAAGTTTCTTGGGCATTCTAGTTGCTTACTAAATGGTTTATTGTGAAACTTGGTGGTAACAAATTTCTCAACCAACCCATCCTTTTAGAGTTGTAGAATTACCCAGTTTATGTACCTGGTGATAAAGGAGGAATGATGTATGAAAATAATTAAGATAGTGGTTTACATTTCCCTTGGTAAAATACCATAATACATTCTTTAGTACAGGCTTTTGTGCAAGAAAGAAATATTATTAATGTTTTTGAGGGTGTGCTTTGTTTTATTACCCAGGTGTAGTACAGTTTTTCAGGAATATACATTTTTACCTAAAATGAGATACTTCCTTTGTTTTTCTCATAATATTTCTTCTTATTCAAGATATGCTGCAGAAATACTATAAATATGATATGGAAAGCTGACTGAAAAAGAATCCTAACATTTGTTTGATGTTTGATTCCAATGAGTAGGAAACTTCTAGGCAAAATCAAAGCATCTTTAAGAAAAGAATGAATATGGGAGTCCCTGTCTAAGTCTTTCCAGATTTCATGTCCTCACTATCTCTCAAAGCCATTCATTTCTTACCGCGTTTACTAATTGCCCTTTCTTTTGTGCTGTTACAGTGGCCTCTGAGTTGGTCTCTTCCTGACTGCACTGGCCTCTGCCTTTGGTTCTCAATCCTACCCTTAGTGAGAGTTAAACCGTGTGGATTTCGTCATGTTCTCTCCTCTTCCCCTTCCCATTTGACATCTGCTTAAAGCTTCTCATCACTGAGAGTGAACAGAGATCCTTCATGTGTGCAAGGCTGTGCATCTTTCTAGCATCATCTCTATGCCTCTCGGACCCTCGGTACGTGAGGGTTAGTCTTCCAGTCCTTTTCATGTGTCATGTTCAGAACACCATTCCTCCCTCAGCATTTCTGTACCTGCACTTTAGTATCCTTTGCCTGGTTATCTCTCTTTCTGTCTTTTTTGGGTGCTAAAGGGGATTTTTGAGACAAAGAGGATCTCACTGTGTAGTCCAGCTTGGGCTTGAATTTGCTACACCGTCCAGGCTGTCCTTGAACTTGTGACCCTTTTGCTGCAGCCTTCCAAGCCCTGGGATTACAGATGCATGCCATCATGCCTGGCCCTGGTTAACTCCTATTTAACTTCAGCTGAATGGATTCATTTCCTAGGAAAACCTCTTTAAACTAGTCGATTTTAGTATTGTAGGCTTTTACATCGCCATGTGTTTTTCCTTCCACTGGACTTACTGGTTATAATGTGTGTGCTTATGTAAATCATTTTCATGCCTGGGTCTCCTTTTGCTTACCACTATACCTACTCCCAGCACTTAGCACAGAACCTAGCACTCATTAGGTTATACCATAAATATTGGTTGAATTAATGAGTAACATGAAAGAATGGAGTCAGATATGGCTGTTATCAAGTTGATTAAGAGTACACACAATGCCAGTGTCAGAGAGACTGTACAAAATGAAGGGTACCTTCAAGGAAATCATCTGGGGGGTTGCCTGCTGTTGTTAGAAAGGCACTTTGTACAGGTGACGAATTGTCCTTTAAGTACGGTGATCCCTCAGTGTCTGTGGGAGATTGGTTTCCCGGCTCCTTGGGGATACCAAAATCTGCAAAGCTCAAGTCCCTTATATAAAGTGACAGAGTGTTTGCAGAACTTACAGATATCCTCCTATACATGTTAATCATCTCTATACCAAGTGTAATACCTAATATAATATAAATACTATAGAAGTAGTTGTACTGTTTAGGGATTAATGACAAGAAAAAAGTCTGTACATGTTCAGAATTTAAAAAAAAAATATTTTCAGTCCATGGTTAGTTGATTCCAAACCTGTGGATGTGGAGGCAGCTGTAGTTTACAAGCCACTCAAGAAAAACACTTGCCAAGCTGGGTGTAGTGGTGCATGCCTGTAGCCCCAGCATTTGAGAGGCTGAGGCAGGAGGATTGTGAGTTCAAGGCCAGCCTGGGCTATATACGCAAGACCCTGTCTCCAAAAAAACCCCAAAGTACTTGCTAAGCCGGGCATTGTGGTGTGTATTTGTGATCTTAACATGCTGGGAGGTTGAGGCAAGAGGATAGCAAATTCAAGTCTATCCTGGGCAGTTTAGCAAGACCCTGTCTCAAAATTAAAAATTAAAAAAAAGGCTAGGAATGTAGTCAGTGTGAAGGCCCTGGATTTGATCCCCTCCCCACTTAAAAACAAGCACCTTTTAGGCATGGTGGCATATATTTGTAATCTCAGCTACTCAGGAGGGTGAGGCAGGAGAATCTCAAGTTTGAGGCCCCTTTGACAGGTTAGTAAGAGTCTGAAGAGAGTGAAACAGGACTGGGAATGTAGCTCACTGTGAGGCCCTGGTTCAATCCCCCACACGCACTGGGGAAAGAGCGGGAGGGAGGGTGAAGGAAACACTTATCCTTTTGATTAAAAATAATATCCAGTTTGGAGATTCTCTTTATTTTCTGAAAGAACTTCCAACATGCAGATATCAAATTCCATTTTTAAAGAGCCAGATTTGCCACAGTTGAGAAATTTAAAAGAATGTTTTATGCATGAAGACAGTCCTAAAAGAGTTGTTCCTAAAAGGTTTTGAGGGTTGGCAGGCATTTTTGTAATAAGTATGTAGTCTTTGAAGAGACTAATATTTCTGTGGATATGTGGGTTTTTCCATTTCTGTTAAAACTTTCACTTTTCATGTGGTAACAAGTGTTTCAGTTTTGCTTCTGGTCATGTGGAGGATGCATTTTACTTTAAGTCCTTCACTTCATCTTTGTGCTTTTGTTCTCCACAGGCAAAATAAATCTTGCAGAGTTTGTTTTTTACCAGAAAGAAATGTAATAGGGACTCGAGTTAGTTATAAGGTACTGTAAAGTTTTCAGATGTGAGCTCTGTTTAGGAAAATTCCCTGTTAGTGTGACCAGTCATAGAACCAGGACCGGCTTCTTTAATTGAAAAGTGTCAGGGATTCTTGCCAAGTTCTATTACTCATTTATTCAATACCCATGTTGATTTAGCTACCAGCGCTTAACCTCTCTTTTAGACTAGGTACTACTCCTCTTATCATTTAATTTTGGAGGTGTGTACTATTTTTCTCTGGTAGCTGAAATCAGTATTCATTCTTAAGTAAGGTTAACTGAGTTTCACATATCATATATTTGTATTTGCATTTAATCCTTGGGAACATGTATACCGCACTGATAAAAGCAGCTGTTTCTAAGCAAGTTATTTCTCACAGCGCAGTGCAGGTCATCTCTAGCTCTAGAGTTTTCATTTGTTCACCTTTGAGAAAATGTGCTCCAGTCTACACGACGTAGATGGTTTCAGAATAGTGGACAGCTTTATAAACTAACATTTTTGGGAAAGCCTTGGTTACATGTCTGGAAACAAAAGTTCTTCTGACCTTTTATTCTGGTGTCCTTGTTTGCACCTGAGCAACAGAGGATTAGAGCAGACGTTTGCTTTTTGTTTCATTTACTGCTCACCAATAAAAGCATGCAAATTTTCCTACAGCTTCGGTTCAGACAGTATTTCCTTCTGCAGATACTTGTGCTTTGCCTAGCAATAATATCAGGATTTATGACATAATGATCTTTCGAATTTGGTCTTTTAAAGAGTGGTTCTATCCTAAATATCTCCTTCCACAAGTTTACTCCTAAAGCTGGTGGAAAACAACCTGTTATTGTTTCTGAGGGAGATTCACTGTGTTCTCTGCTCATCTGTGTGCGTCTCAGCAAACGTGTGTGTCACTGAGTCACGGCCTCTTACCCGAATCGCTGATTTTCATCTGTGATCCCTGGCCAACCATGCCTTACCTCCAGATGGAATTCTCCCTGGAGGGATTTGAATAATGTCACGTGCATTTTGACTGGGATGCACTTATATTTGCATTAAGTCCTTCATTGTTGTTGTTTTTTAAGATCATCCGTTCTTAAACTGGGGTTATGTTATTATATAATGAATTTAATAGGTACATTTTACATATTTATCCTTTACCTGATTGTTGTGCTATTTCCTGTGTGGAGCATTAGAGAAGGGAGTTACTCTTCCATGTGACATGGTGACATATTGGGAAATTATTTCTGTGTGTCTTCCGGAAGTCCTGGGAATGATGACCATGAGGTGCAGAAGTCACGCTGTGAGGTCATGAAAAGTTAATGCCTTATGAATATAATTCCCTGCTATTTTAAATAAGGACCTACTCAAGTTAGGCCACATATGTTAAGATCCTTGTGATGTGAAACCGGGTGTGGTGGCATGCATTTACAATCCCAATACTCTGCTGAGACAGGAAAATCTCAGATTCAAGCCCAGCCTGGGCAGTTTAGTGATTTAATGAAACCTTGTCACAAGGAAAAGCCTGGGAATGTAGCTCAGAGTGAAGGCTTTGGATTCTAGCACCAGAACTGGGAAAACAAAACCCCAAACCTTTAGGATAGGAGTTGAACAATTTAAAAGTGGGGTTTTTTTTAATCTTTTTTAGACAGGGCCTCACTATGCAGTTCAGGCTGGCCTTCAACTCACTTTGTAGCCCGGGCTGACCTTGAACTCACAGCAGTCCTCCTCCCTCACCCTCCTGAGTGCTAGGATTACAGATGTGCACCACCACACCCAGCTGGTGAAGGAGGAGTAATAAAGAATTCAGCTAATTCGCCAGTCTGCTGTGAAGGAAACAGACTGCTTTGTATGACAGCTTTACCCATCTCCTAAGGAGAAAGCTGAAGTGAACAGAGATTAAATAATTGCAGAGATGGGATCTGAATGCAGAGCTCTGACAGCGTAGTGACCTTGACCACTGCGAGGGGCTGCTTCTCCTTGGAGGAGGCGTGTGTGCGTGCTGTACGACGCAGTGCAGACTCCTGGGCTGGGGTGCACGCAGCTCAGTGGAACAGTGGTTAACTCTTCTCCTAACGTGTCTGAGGCCCACTGGGTTCATTCCTAACCCTGCAGAAGAAAAGTAATTGAAGAGATAAGGCAAATTTAGATTTAGAAGTTGTCAGAAAATTAACTGAGCTTTAATTGAAGTAATGTTGATGTGAAATACTACTCTTGCTTTAAAGGAAATAACAAAGTTTATTCCAAGCCAGATACGAGTGACAATGGCCTGGAAATGTGGATTCAAGTTATCTTCAATGACATGTTCTACTGTGGAAGAAGTCATGAACTTTGATAGTTGCAGGATAAAAGAAAGTCACAAATCAACACATTTGCCAGTTATATTGATGGAAGCATTAGGTAGGAGAGCTGCAGCAAGGCGGAATCTCCTCTACAGGATTCAGGTGTTGCAACATCCTTAGTTACAGAGTTGGTGGAGACTAGACGTCTGCTAAACTTAGTGGTACATTCCAAGATGTTTCTGTATTAGTTAGAATTTTAGGTCAGATACAGAAGTTAAGGTATTTGACTATGAAAGGTCTAAGATAGCCCAAGGTAATTTTAACTCTTAACCTGTCATATCCATTTCTCTATAATCCCAATGTTCTAGTTACCCAAAGTCAAGCAATCTGCAGGATCTTTTGTATAGATGTGGCTTCTTCAGAGAACTTCATTTACACCAGCATGTTGTTCTACTAGACATTTGTCATGGGCCTAATATGTGTCAGGCACTATGCCAGGTGCTGGACAGGATATCAGGATCACCGCCTGTTACAGTTTAGATCTAGGTATTTGCCCAAAGCCTCATGCCCTCCTAGGTGGGACTTTTGGAATGTGATTGGACTATGGGGTCTTGTAGCTGACTTGCTGTTAGGAAGTGGGATCTGATCCAAAAGAGGGTCACTGGGTGCTGGGCCCGGAAGGGTTTATCTCCCCTTCTCTGATTCCTGGATTCTAGGAAGTGAGCAGCTTTCCTCTCTGCCGGGCCCTTCTGCTGTGCCATTCTGCCTTTGAGCCGGCTGACTGTGGCCTGAAGCCTTCCCAGACTGTGAGCAAGTTGTGGGCTTGGGTATTGGGACTCAGCAAGGGGAAAGTGACGAAGATACCAACTGTCAGCTTCTAAAGTAAATAAAAATAACTTACATACAAGACAGAATTCATGGAGGCGACATTTACTTGGTGTCTGTTGTTTGCCAAGACTGGGTTAGATGCTGAGAATGGTTCATTTCTTCATTAATTCATCCAGAACTTCTGCTCATCTGCTGTGTGCCAAGCAGTGTTGTAGATACTGGGAAGACAGTTGAAAACAAAGCAAACAAGGTATGCATTCTTGTAGAAACTACGGTCCAGTGGGAAGGAGATAGGCAATAAATAAGCAAGAAAAGGTCTGTTGTACAAAGAATTGAGTAGGATGGTATGCAGAGAGTGGCTGGGTAGCAAATTATAGCAGAGTTCAAAGATAAGTAAGACCTGGTCCCTGCCCTGGAGGTGGCAGACTTGTCAAGAGCCACCAGCAGCATGATTCTGTATGTGTAGTGATAGGTGTGTGAACAAAGCGTTATTAGTGAAGCTGGCTGTGGAGAGCTTCAGTGTTCTCATGAGGACACTCAGGGATGGCTCTGTGCTGCCGGGGCCAGAAGCACATTCAGGTGTAACTGGGGAATGCTCTGTAGTATGGGCTGATCAGGGGAGAGACTGATGAGACGTGGAGGTTACGCCCTGGAATTTAGCTCTGTACAAGTTCAGGAGAAGGGGAGAGGAGGAAGTGGTTACTTGTCATGAGAGACCTAAGGAAGGCTTCCGGAGTAGGGTGATACTTAAACTTGGTCTTTTAACCTGAAGAGATGAAGGGAAGTGACCCCAGGTGACATTACTATGCACAGAAGTGGAAAGATAATACCTTATTTTGAGAGCAGCCAGACTTAGCCACAGGTTAAACACAAGGTGCGTGAGGGAGAAGGCCACAGGGGTTGGGTCCGCAGTTCCAGCTTGTTTCAGGCAAACAGAAGCCCTTGTTGTAGGGCTTTCGAGAGACAGACATACTTAGGAATTTGTTCTCATAGCAGTGTATAAAGTAAATGGGAGTGGGAGAGAGAGATGGCTGACAGGCGGGTGTGGAGGCTCTTGAGGTCTCTGAGGTTGGGATTCTGATCTAGGATGTAGACCATGGCTGAAGATGGTGGGATGGCCGTGGAAGTGGAGATAGTAAGGCAGTGTTCTGATTGCATGTGGAAAGTCAGGAAGAGGAAGGACAAGAATGTGACTCCCAGGATAGCACATAAACACAGCTCTGTGACCTCATTTACTTGTTGTGATGCCATTGGGGAAAACATTTTTTTTTAAAATCACACCTTTCAATGCTGTCTCCTAGAGCAACTTGTTCATTGTAGGTGATAGGAAACAGCTTTGTTTTCCTGGAGTAGTGCAAATGTTCATTCCTGACAGGAAATCATAACTAACTAACCCTGTTTACATTTTTACCTTGGTATTAGGAAGCATAGAATCAAATTCTGTTTTTAACTGCAGTAACTGAGTAGGATCTTACAGTCTTCATATTTAAATTCTATTCTAGTTTCTCTGATTCTGTCCAGAGCTTTCTTTCAAATTTTAGTTTTCTTCAATACATGCATCTTTCATAAGCTACTGCAGATTCATTATAGAATTAGGCAGGGGCTAAATTCATTTTGCCATTGTGCAGCTAACTGCGATATTCTTAGAATGTTAAGATCAGTGTGTGATTTCTGTTTTCTGTGAACCTTGTCCTTATTGATAACTTTTAAGCAAGTGGTATGCGTAAACAGACTGTAAAAACAAATGAAAACGATGCAACAGATGAGAGCTGCATTCATTAATAAATACTTGTGCATTGAGCCAGTGCATTCTGCCTCTTGGTCTGTTATACATTCCCAGGTATATCAACCTTTGCAAAAAGAAATGAAATTTTGTTTGGTCATTCATTTGCAAATGAGTAGTGTTGGTGGGTTGTTTACTATTGAGTTGTTAGTAGGTCAGTGGTTAGCTAAAAAGAACTGACCTTTTGCTAACTAAGTTCTCTAAAGAAAAGTCTTTTCTTTCTCATCCTATAAAAGGAAACCTTTGCTATCAGTGGCCACATGAAGTACACTACTTTATACCAAAAATCTTGTGAATGAAAATAACCAAATAACTCAAGGGATATTTATGATGACTAGATTTATCTTATTTAACCTCCAGTAAAAAATTTCCTGATTTTGCATTTGAAAAAAGTGTGTTCTTCCTTCAAATTCTCTGATAAAGTGGGAGGATGGGGGCTGGGGACTTAGCTCAGCAGCACGGGGACTTAGCTCAGCGGCACAGCGCCTGCCTGGCAAGCGCAAGGTCGTGAGTTCAGTTCCTGGTACCGGAAAAAAACCAAAAGAAAAAAAAGTGGGAGGATGTAAATTTGTGGTGCAGAAACATTTTGTAGAATTGAAAGAACATCTACGAAGACTTCTGGGGAAGTTTCTTTTAGAAATAGTAATTCCTGGATGGGAGACACTTGTTTCAAATCAGTGACCTATTTCCCATTTCTATGGAATGTCAAAATATTTACATGAAAGTATTTTTGTGATCTGTTTGTCTAAGAAAAAAGTAAGTTCAGTTAAGTAATGCGTGACAATTGCTCATTTAGATTATAACTAAATTTTATCCTGCAGGAAGTGCAGATCTTTTAAATGTGGTTGTAATGTTTTAGTATCTTCTCTGAAAGGGTGCAGGGGTAGATTTGAGTGCCACGGTGGGGCCAGGCCCTGTTCTCCCTTGTGTCTGTGTTAACTTTCTTGGTTTTCATTAAAGCTCAGTTTACTCAGACTTAATGACTTTATTGTTAAAAAAAAAGTACAAAAAAGTTCAGAATTTTATTACGTTAAATAGAATCTTATATTAGGAGCCACAAGGTACGTTTCTTTTTGATCTCAGTGTCAAAAATAGTTGTGCTTTCTCTAAGTAGCTGGTTTATTTTTACCCTGAGGACGTTGAATCTTAGAACAGACCGTGTTTTCCTCTGTATATTGGCTGCAGTAAAGCTGAGAGTCCCTCCCTTCCCTTTCACATATCTCTAACACTTCACTCCTGGATCCCACGCTGCCTTGTGACTGTAGCTATTGGTGCATATGCCTTACTCTGCTAGTTTAAAAGCTGTTGAAGACAAGATTTTGATCACTCCTCTTTGCTTTACAGTGCTTTGAATGTTTTTGCTACTCAAGTAATGACTGAACTGGGTATTACTAAGTCTTTCAAAAATAGTTCCTTGACTTGGGTGTAGCACAGTGGTAGTGTGTGTGCCTGATGTGTAGTACTGGGTCCAACCCCCAGCATTGTCCAAAAGAAGTTCTGTGTTGGGCCTCTATGGTGGTAAAGATAAGGAGAAAGCCACTTACGTATAATATGTCAGTGACAGTTTTGAAAATAGATGAGGCTCAGAGAGTTATGTGTTTGAAAATATAGTACCTTGAGGTGGGATCCTCCTACACATGCGAGGAAGAAAAGGTTGAGTACAAGAGCCAACGCAGGCCATTTTCCTCTGCTTCATATCTATCAGTGATCCATAGATTTAACTCTTATTCTGTATTACTAAATTCCTGCACAACTGGACAGCTCTCTGGTGGACAGACCCCTGGAAATAATTGTAATAGTGTGTGATACATAACTGAAGATCCTTTAATAAGAAAGTCCATCAAGATAAAAGTAAATCTAGTTAATTGAAGGCAGAGATCAACCTTTAGACAGCAGTTGGTAACATTTAATAATGCTTGCCGTGGTGGGAAATGGAGGGGATGAAAAGAATTAAGTTGTATGAAGTACATGTGCCTACACCCTAAGATGAATGTAAATGTGTACTGCAAACATGTATGAATAAAAAAATTTAAAAAATAATGCTTAACACAAAATCTGTATTCAGCTGTGTCGAGAGGTGGGGACTTGTTTCTTATTGAATGTGGTATTTTAGCAGGCATAGTAACACATGCCTATAACCCACACTACTTGGGAGCTGAGGCAGGGGGAATGAAAGTTTAGGGCCAGCTTGAACAATTCTTTTCATTGTATTTCTTTTTCCTTTCCTCCAAAAGCCAAAACATTGGATTTATTTAGTTAACACAGCCCTAACTCTAATTCTAACCTGAACCCTCTTTGATCTGAGTTTGTGGAATTTTAAATCGGGAAAGAGCGTTAACCAAACACTTCACTCCCTAGAGGACTCATCTTTTCTCTTGGTTTCCTTTAATATTTTTTCCCTTTGGTCTTTTTAAAAAAAGTTTTTGTTTTTTTTTTTTACATGCTGTATAAGACATTTAGTGTTTATTGTTTCCTGCTTGAACCAAAGCATCACAAAGGCAGGGATCTTTGTCTTTTTGTTCAGCTGCCAGGCACATAGTAGATGTCAGGTAGGGGCTCAGAAAACCTTGTATAAGCAAATGAATGAATTTTTGATTGTCCAAGCAGACAGACATTTCTGTTAATTGGTTGCTTTTGATTTTCTTCTAAAACAACTCTCGTGTCTCTGATTTCCATCAGTGATGCTACTTCCATGTTTCCAAGGGAAAACTATTGGAGGCGTTGCCAGCCACACCTGAGACAGGAAATGAGATGATTTTCCAGGGGGTTCAGATAGTTATCTAGCTGTGGGTGCAAACAGTGAAAGTACTTTCTCCTTTAAGGAAGATAGGGCCCATTCTTCTCAGACAGGGCCTCAGGAGCCAGAACTAGGGGTAACTGGTTAATGTGCAGGGAATTACTTCAAATTACCAAAATTTATTACTAAAACCATAGCTTCTGCTGGGTTAATATTCTGGTGTGTTTCTGCGTTGTGTTAACTCCATTGGAGACTCCTTGTTGCTTCCAGAGTCACAACTTCGCAGCCAGCATCCGGTGAAATCCCTAGAACTCTCATTCCGTCTCCTGCTGTTGTCCCTTGTCAGTGCTCTGCTAACCGGAGGACTTCCTTAGTGCTTCCTGAAGCATTCCTGTGTTTGTGTTAAAGTCCCCTGTTCACACTGCACTATTGTTTGTTTCCTTCTCTTTCCCTTCCAGTCAGTCAATTAAACTAAAAAAGCTTTTCAACTCTCACTGAAAGCCATCCATATCATGGGACTCCAAACATTGTATTATTCTTAGATATTTCCCCTTGTATTTATTCCTTTCCTTACTTATGATATCCTTTTGAGGGAAGGGACTAATGGATTAATGCAGGTGGGGTTTAATGAATGAATCGTGAATCATAGCTAAGGCAAAACCTGCTAAACCATGGTACACAATTGACCTAATACAAGTGCATTTACTGGAATGTGAAGTTTCATGGGGTTTAGAAAATTCTGCAATCAGATCAAGTCCTTTCTACAGTTTTGGGGTATTAAAATGTACTTTAAAAATTGGGTGATAATTGTAATATATAGTAATGGCTTCAAATGAATTGCTGTTGCTTAGAAACAGAAAATTGGCAGTGGTACACACACACACACACACACACACACACACACACACACACACGTATTTAAGGTAACCTACTGATCTGTGAGATGAGAGACTGATGAAGACAATTCTTGGTGGTTGCTGAACCCAGAAGCATATAACTGTGTTTATCCTGGCTGTTATTCTTTCCGGTGCTCAGTCTCACAATGTTTATTGTTCAAGTCTTTCAGTTATTTGTGGCTTTTTTTTGAAACAGGATCCCACTGTGGAACTAAGGAGCTCAGGTTGGCCTTGAATTCACAATCCTCCTGCTTCAGCCTTCTGAGTGCCAGGATTACAGGCATGTGCCACATGCCTGGGTAGGTGTTGGTTTAAGTTTCTCATGCTGTAGTTTGACTGTAGTTACTGAGAGCTGGTGCATGAACATTACTTTGCACGTATGTAAGAGCTGCCTTCCATTTCTTGACCTTCAAAGAGTATTTTTTTTTCTTATTAAGTGCAGATTAATGTAGACAGTAGCATTCTCTGCTCTTTCTGAGTAAGTCAGCTTTATGCAGGTCGTCAAAAGACAAATTTTACATTGCTCTTTAATTTTTTAGGCTGATAAAAGAACTCAGTGAAGTTGTAAAAGACATTAATTTGTTCATTTCCTTTCCAAATCTTGAACCATTTCTTCTCTTTTTCCATGTTGTAAGACAAGTTAACATTCTCCTCCTTTTTCTAATTGTTCTAAAATTTCAAGTTTTCATTGAATGTTTCATCAAACTCACTATATGTTTACTCTTGGAT